TCAGGTATTTAGGAGTGGCTTAGCTGGGTTTTTCTGGCTCAAGTTCTCTCATGAACTTGTAGTCAATATGTTGGCTTGGGCTACAGTCATCTGAAGGCTTAACTTGGGTCTGAAGGAGCAGTTTACAAGACTGCTCACTCACCTAGCTATTGGTAAGAGGACTCACGTCTTTGATTTTTGTTGACACGAGGCCTCCATTACTTGCCACGTGAACCTCTCCATAAGGATGGCCTCATATGTGGCAGGTGGAATTCCCCAGATTAAGTGATTAAGGAGAGGACTAAGAGGAAATCACAATGCCTTTTTTTCATCTTGTGATACCTTTTACGACTTAGTATATTCTGTCTGGGATTTTTGTTGTTGTTTGTCTTTTTTTGAGACAGAGTCTCATTCTGTTGCCTGGGCTAGAGTGTCATGGCATCAGCCTAGCTCACAGCAACCTCAAACTCCTGGGCTCAAGCAATCCTCCTGCCTCAGCCTCCCAAGTAGCTGGGACTTTGATGCCCGGCTAATTTTTCTATTTTTAGTAGAGACAGGGGTCTTGCTCTTGCTCAGGCTGGTCTTTTTATTTAATTAATTAATTAATTAATTAATTATTTTAAAAGACGGGGTCTCGCTCTTGCTCAGGCTGGTTTCAAACTCCTGACCTCGAGCAATCCACCCGCCTCGGCCTTCCAGAGTGCTAGGATTACAGGTGTGAGCCACCGTGCCCTGCTTTAGGCTGGTCTTGAACTCCTGACCTCAAGCGATCCTCCTGCCTTGGCCTCCTAGAGTGCTAGGATTTGTAGGCATGAGCCACTACACTAGGCCACCACAGTCTATTTGTTAGAAGCAAGTAACTACATTCAGGCCACACTCAGGGAGAAATGAATTAAATTCCACCTCTTAAAGGAAGGAGTAACAAAAATTTGTGACCGTATTTTACAATCACCACAGGAAGACAAACAATAAACAGAATAAATAAGCAAATTATGAAGTATGTTAGAAGGTGCTAAGTTCTATGAAAAAAATTAAAAAGAAAGCAGAGGTGAGGGGAATCAGAGTATGTGTGTCTATGTGGAAGGGATGTAGGTTGCAATTTTAAATAGGGTGGTTAACACAGGCCTCATTAAGAAGGTTAGATCTGAGCCAAGACTTGAAGGAGACAAGGAGGTTAGCCTAGCAGATATCTGGGGGAAGAATGTCCCAAACCAAAGAAATAGCTAAAGCCAAGGCCCTGAGGTAGGAGTCATCCTGGCAAGAGGGACAGCCAGGAGGCCAGTACAATTGGCATAGAGAGGAGGGTTGGTGAGTGGTAAAAGGGGAGGTCAGAGAAGTAAACTTGGGGGTGAGGGCTGGAGCACATTGTTGGCTGTTGTAAGGATTTTTGGTATTCTTGCTTATTTTTTTTCTTTTTTTGAGACAGAGTCTCGCTTTGTTGCCCAGGCTAGAGTGAGTACCGTGGCGTCAGCCTAGCTTACAGCAACCTCAAACTCCTGGGCTAAAGCAATCCTACTGCCTCAGCCTCCCGAGTAGCTGGGACTGTGGCATGTGCCACCATGCCCGGCTAATTTTTTTTTTCTATATATTTTTAGTTGTCTGGCTAATTTCTTTCTATTTTTAGTAGAGACGGGGTCTCGCTCTTGCTCAGGCTGGTTTCGAACTCCTGACCTTGAGCAATCTGACCACATCGGCCTCCCAGTCACTTAGTTCTTAATTATGTCTACTTCCAAATATTCAGTGAGATTGTGTGTGGAAGAATGTTTAGTATCAGGAGTGTCCTTTATGAAGGCTAGTTGCTTTTATTATTCAAGTATTGCAAATTTTTGTTTTTAGTTAGCATAGTCATAGAAACAACTTTCCTTTACCTCACAAAGGTGACAAAACCTTTTTCTGAGGCAAGTAGAAAAGAATACTGATCATATTTTATTACTAGCACATTTTTAATTGGGGAGGTGGGAGAAAAGTCAAGGAAAGATTATTTCCATGGCTGAAATTAAATGAGTTTATTGTTTCTAACAGGAATGTAAAGAAGAAATCAAAATGGACCCAAGTGTGGGTGTGAATTCTGTTACCATCTCTGTTGAGGGTATGACTTGCAACTCCTGTGTTTGGACCATTGAGCAGCAAATTGGTAAAGTGAATGGTGTACATCACATTAAAGTAAGTTACTTTTTTGGAAATTGAGGTCAAATGCCACAGACTAGAATTCTGCTAGGAAATTACTTCAAAACTGATATAGAAGGAAACACATTGACACATCTGGCAATAAAGACTATCATACTTCTAACCCTGAAGCTAGATAAGTTTACTTTGACCCATTAATTCCTCTTTTTTTAAAAAAGAAAATATGTATGTATATTTCAACAAATCTGAATGTGGAACCTTGAAATTATTGCATTTATGTATTTATAGATTTATGTTTTATAAGTATATAAATATTGATATTTATATACTTTCACTTTTTATTACTCCGAATCTGAAAGTTAACTAAAAGATATGTTCTCAGAGAATGGGTTAGTGGGTTTTCTTTCTCTTTTATAGCATGACAATTATTTTGCAATTAAAAATTGAAGTGAAAGTATCTAGGAAATTACTAGCACACCTTGTTTGTTATGCTCAAACAGAAAATTAGATCATATTGTATATTTTATTAATTATAATAATGGCTTAGTGTTTGGTGATTCAGAGAGCCATTAAGAAATGTGAAATGGGGAGTGAGGGGATATTATTGGCATTTATTGAAACTCTTAATCTGTACGTCCTCATGCCTGTTAGTTATATTTGTTGAAATAAATGATTTATTGTTAATATTATATTGGTATATGTTTAAAAACCTCACAGTGTAACAAGTGAGTATTAATCCGTATGGCTTTTGTATAATTTTGTTTTGTTTCTTTTGTATGATTATTTTTATTAATTGTGTATAACAAATAACTAGAAACTAAAAAAAAAAAAAAAAAAAAAAGATGAAAAGAATGAAGTGCTGATACGATTCTATACATTGAAAACATTATGCTGCCGGTGCGCTTGGCTTATCGCCTTTGTATTGGCGCGACTTCTTGTTTAGTGCGGAGGCGGTGTGGATTTGCGTTCGGCAGTTTCAGTGGGGTTGAGGTCTTCGAAACCAGGGCTGGAGCATTTGTAGAGCGTTAGATGTTTTGTTGTTCTCTGTTCTGACTATTATTAGTATAGTAGCATAATTGATTGGCCATGCTAATATATATTTTTCTTAGGTGTTGAACAAATTAGATGACTGGCTTGTGTTTGAGTTGTGCTCGGTTGTTTTTTGTTTGGTGGCGCAATTGCTGTAGTTTCCCCTGTCATTACTTTGGAGGTCTTGAGGCTACGAAGGATTGCTTGAGCCAGGAGTTATTTGAGTTGACTTGTGATGCTGTATGTGTGGCTGATCGCCTGGATGTGCACTTTTCCTGTTCCCCTTAGCTGCTAAGGCAACAAAGTTGGGGATTTGGCTGTCTTCAAAAAGGTTTTTTTTTTGTTTCTGGATTTGGTGTTGTTTTTTTTTTTGTTTTTTGTTTTTGTTGTTGTTTTTTTTTTTTTGTTGGGTGTTTTTTTGTGTTCGTTTTGTTTTTTGGGTGGTTGTTGTGGTTTTGAGTTTGGTGTTTTTTTTTTTGGGTTGGTGTGTTATTTAGTTTTGTTTGTTGTTTTGGTTGGTTTTGTGTTTTTTTTTTATTTTTTTTGTGTTTTTTATTTTTTTTGTTTTTTTTGGGGTGTTTTTTTGTTTGTTTGTTTTTTTTTTTTGTTTGTTTGTTTTTTTTTTGGGTGTTTTTCTTGGATGTGCTTTTGGTTTTTGTTGTTGTTTTGTTTGGTTGGGCGTTTTTTTTTTTTTTTGTTGTTTGTTGGTTTTTTGGGGGGTTGTGTGTTTGATTCGTGTTAGGTTTTTTTTTTTGTGAGTGTTTGTTTTTTTTGGTGTGTATAGTTGGGGTTGTGGTGGGGTGTGTGTGATGTTTGTTTTGATTTATTGTTATTGATGACGACTAATACAACAAAAAACTAATTATGCCGGATAGTGAGGTTAATTTTCAGTACATCGAATAGGCCGCATTTAGATTGAATGAATTCCATTTATAATATGTGACCAGTAGTTGGCTTTATGTCAAGTCCATAAGATGAGTTGAGGGGATATGTTGTGTACTTTGAAGGCTGTGATGGTGGAGAGCGAATGGGAAGTGATTTTGTATATATGGGTATTGGGTGATTGGGTTTCTTTTAATAGTAAATAGATAGTTCGCAATCTTGATCAGTACTTATTTATGGATTTGCCATCCTGTGTGAATTGTTACTAAAAACTTCTGTCAATGTGATATCATTGTAGATTGCTATTGGAGGGGTGTGAGTTAATCTCAGGACTTTAAGTAGTAGTATTATTATGGTGTTGTCGTTAGAATCAACATGTCTGCTTCTATAACATTAATATTGCTTTATGGACTAGATTGTGTCCAGTTGTTCAAAGCTTCACAGAAACATATTTAGAGATAGTTATTAAATAGATATAAGTCGTATTATTTGCATCTATGGTCTTGTTTGGTTAGTTAGTCTAGATAGGGCATTGGTTCTAGGTCAAGTATTTTTTCTGTTTAAGTGTGTGTGTTTCTTCGTGAGGTTTAGCATAATATGAAAATGTCAGTGTTATTTTTGGCGAGTTTGTTGATTAGACCTATGGTTGTAGTACAAAGTAATTGCGGGTTATTATGGATGGCTGAAATTCGTTTTTGTTCTCACACATATTCTCCTATCCGTGCATGTGCCGTTCCACCAGAGGACCACTGTTTGGTTCGCTAGTGGGAGGTAGTTATTTCATTGGATTTGGTATCGTGGTAGTGATAGGGTTACCTAATGTTGTCCATTGTTTAGCGGGATTGGATCCGTATTGGAGTGAGATTGTCCAACGCTAATATCAGTGGGAAAAGACAGAGTCTGTCTTCATGGAGTGTTCATTCATTCTAACGTGGTGAAGTTGCATTTGAGTTAACTTTATTGAGTATAACAAATCACTTGTTAAAATTTAGTGGCTTATGAAGCACAAATATTTATTATTCTTCATAGTTTTCTTTGTGGGTCAGTTTAGGAGTGGCTTAGCTGGGTTTTTCCTGGCTCATAGTTCTCTCATGAACTTGTAGTCAAATCATGTTGGCTTGTGGGCTACGGTCATCTGAGGGCTTATACCTGGGGGTTGAAACAACCCAAATGTTCATCATCTGACAAATGGGTAAGCAAAATATGGTATATCCATATAATGACATATTAATCATAAAAAGGAATGATGTACTGATATGTGCTATAACATGGAAGAACATTGAAAACATACTACATGAAAGAAGCAAATCACAAAAGACCACATATTATATGATTCCACTCAGGTGGAATGTACAGAAAAAAGAAACTCTATATAGACAGAAAGTAGATTAGTAGTTGCCTAGGACTGAAGGTGGTGAGCTAAGGAGGTTGTAAGTGATAGCTAAAGTGTTTGCTTTTTGGGGTGATGAAAATGTTCTAAAATTGACTGTGGTGATGATCGCACAAGTCTGCGAATATACTAACAGCATTGAATTGTATACTTTAAATGTGTTAATTTAAAAGGTATGTGAACTATATCTCAATAATGCTGTTTAAAAAATGGTGCTGGGACCTCTTGTATTATCCTGGATAGAGCTGAAACGTATTCTACTAAGTGAAGTATCCCAAGAATGGAAAAATAACCATCACATGTACTCACCAGCAAATTGGTATTAACTGATCAACACCTAAGTGGACATATAGGAATAACATTTATCAGGCGTCGGGCAGATGGGAGGGGGAGGAGTGGATGGGTATATACACACATAATGAGTGCAGTGTGCACTATCTGGGGGATGAACACGCTTGAAGCTCTGACTCAGGTGGGGCAAGGGGGGAAAGGGAAATATACATAACCTAAACATTTATACCCCCATAATATGCTGAAATTAAATAAAAGCATTCTCTGAGAATAACAACTATATGGAATTGACAATAAAGTACAATAAAAAGCAAAAAAAAATGGTGCTAGAGAACTGGACATCCACACATAAAAGAATGTACATTGGATCCTTACCATATACCATATATAACAATTAAAATGGATTAAAAACCTAAATATAAGAGCCAAAACTATAAAAACTCTTAGAAGAAAACATAAGAGTAAATCTTCATAACCTTAGATATGACAATGGTTGCTTAGATATGACACCAAAAACACAAGCCAAGCAACAGAAGAAAAAAATAGATAAATTGGATTTATAAAAAAATGGCCTCTGTTGTGATTCAACAGAGGCCATTAAGAAAGTGAAAAGGGGCCGGGCGCGGTGGCTCACGCCTGTAATCCTAGCTCTCTGGGGCTGAGCGGGCGAGTTGCTCGAGGTCAGGAGTTCGAAACCAGCCTGAGCAAGAGCGAGACCCTGTCTCTATTATAAATAGAAAGAAATTAATTGGCCAACTAAGATATATAGAAAAAATTAGCCGGGCATGGTGGCGCATGCCTGTAGTCCCAGCTACTTGGGAGGCTGAGGCAGAAGTATGCTTGAGCCCAGGAGTTTGAGGTTGTGTGAGCTAGGCTGATGCCATGGCACTCACTCTGTACCTAGGCAACAAAGTGAGACTCTGTCTCAAAAAAAAAATAAAAAATTAAAAAAATAAAATAAGAAAGTGAAAAGGGGAGAGGGGGAAATGGGCATTTATTGAAACCTTAAAATCTGTACCCCCATAATATGCCGAAATAAATAAATAAATGAAAAAAAAACCACATAACAAGGAGAATACTCCTAGGCTTTTGTATATGAGATATAAAAATTAAAAATAAACCTCAGAAACTAAAAAAAAAAAAAAAAAAAAAGAAAGTGAAAAGAATGAAGTGCTGATACATTCTATACATTGAAAACATTATGCTGGCCGGGCGCGGCACGCCTGTAATCCTAGCACTCTGGGAGGCCAAGGGTGGATTGCTCAAGGTCAGGAGTTCGAAACCAGCCTGAGCAGAGCGAGACCCCGTCTCTACTATAAATAGAAAGAAATTAATTGGACACTAAGTATATATAGAAAATTAGCCGGCATGGTGGCGCATGCCTGTAGTCCCAGCTACTTGGGAGGCTGAGGCAGAAGTATTGCTTGAGCCAGGAGTTTGAGGTTGCTGTGAGCTAGGCTAACGCCATGGCACTCACTCTAGCCTGGACAACAAAGTGAGACTCTGTCTCAAAAAAACAAACAACAAAAAAACATTATGCTAAGTGAAAGAATTCAGACATGAAAGGCTGCATATTGA